ACTCCAGCCAAGGAACCTAACGGGGCCTGTGTGATCCTGTATTCTGGTTAGGGTTCTCATACCACCATACCAGGTCTTAGTGTGACCAACCTTGATCTTTTTCCATCCACTACCTGTCTCGACAAATATCGCTCACCGTAGCAACCCATTTGGTGACATGGGCAGTACATCAAAATTTGGGGATCTTGTGTCTGGTATAAGAAACCAATGATCTAGGTCAGTGAATATACGTGGGAAGCAGTGTGGAACCGAGGTAGACTGCTATCAAAGACTGTGGTGTGTAGAGTTCCATTTTAGGGCCAGAAAGACTAATGCACACAACTGAAAGTGACAGAAGCCGCTGAACCCCGTGCATCCTACAGAAACCGTCTTTGTTTGTGATCCGATCAGACGATGTGTCAGCTGCCTAATGATTAATGGAATAATACTACTCCCATCGAGTAATAACATTCCCCCCTCCCGCCCCAGTCCCAGTTGTTTGGAAAGGTGATTTTGATGAAAACGGACCCAGTGGCAATCGGACTACCGAATATGTAACTGGACAATTTCATTCATTAAACCAAATCCTGAAATCGTCATCTATTAAACTCAAGTTGTTGAATAAAGAACAGGATAGAAGCAACTACTGTTCTCGTATAAGTGATTAGAAGCCCAACTAAAATCAGTGTTCACAACTCAAACATGATCAACGTTGGGAAATACGGTTCGATCACCATGCGTGGTCATTATTCCACAAATTGATTGTGCAAAATAACCGAATACCCAGGTGTAAAGTATAAGCCAAGTTGATTATGTACTTGAACAGAAATGCGAGATATCAACCAAACAATAAACTAGTCAGACATAAAATAGAGACGCTAACCAGCCCATTGTTCATGTTTCATAATTCAATGTGTGAGCTTAGAATTGCGTAGTGGAACAAAAAGCATCTAAGTCGAGCCAAAAATGTACCGGTAGAAGTTGTCGTAAAGTTCCTCACCACATTCCTTTCGAACAAAATCGTGGATAGACGGTATATACGCATTCGTGGTAAAATTCGAACACACGTCCTCCAGGGTGATAATTCGGTGACGTTACCATACACTGTTCCAACTACTCTTGTGTCCAAATAGGCTGCCAAAAGATAGCCGCTAAGACAGCTGTGCGAAAAAAGCAAGTTTAACGATTCTACAATCGAACTGGAAGAAGTAAAAGGTCACCAAAGCACTATTCGAATGAATCAGGTCGAGATTATCTGATTCCAAAATCGAGTCAGGTCTAAGCGTGTGCCAGCACAGACCAATTCAGTTTCCTGCTGTTTCGCATCCATGAGAAGATGCATTTTACAAGATGTTCCCACTTTTCAGTAAACCTAAACCAACCGTATACGGGACAGTGTACGTCTTGCTTATACAGTGTTGCCCCCTTCAGTATGTTGCACTACCTAATACTTACTCACTTGTTCGCTGACCGATGTACCGTTTGGTCATTGATCAACCGACATGCAATATCATAATCAGCTAATGACGTTTCACCAAGCGTGAAACACAGGACGCGGTTCCCCAATTGGATAACTCTTGTATCGAAGACACATAGATTCCAAACAGTTAATGAGGTGAGGATGTGCAAGCTCTTGTCTACCAGAGAAAAGCAATGTTGCATGAGCCTGGTGCAACTCAGAACTATGTAGTCAGATAAATTAGTATTTCAAGGAAAACGGTTTATAGTGTCATATCCAAACAAACGGTTATGGGAGAATTAGTCAACGCCGAAGCATCTCGGGAAAGATGTCACATGAAAACTAACGAAAAGTTCAAGGTAGTTAATGATACACCCTTGGAATGGTTTGCCGCTGTGGGGGAAATACGTGGCGAGTCCCCCAGATGGAGAGCATCGTTTGTATACAGGTGACTAACCTAGCACAAAAATGCATCATTGTAACTTTAAGTCTTCTAAAGGTTGGTTTTGCTCTTGGTCCGAGAGATGTGGCATTCACTCCAATGAATTAAGAAACTAGCAAAGTTTGACGGTACTACGTGATGCGGTGGACAAATTTCGAGAGGGGTTTGCCGTAACTGACCCTTGGATATGCCGATCGTGATATTTTTAATGTTGATGAAATATCTTCGTATATCAAGCAGTTCATGGGGAGAACATTACGTTCTAAGGGACTAACGGTCTCTGGAGCCAAGAAATCCAAGGAAATGCTTTGTTAGAGTATAACTGGAGAACCGTTATCACTGCTGAATTATTCTTAAGTTAGCTGTCCGATATCAACTGAAAAATGCTTTTCCAAGGAAGCCCTATTTTACTATTACCCCTGGCATAAAAAAGCTGCAGCATCCTATAAAATAAAATTAGCATGTCTGTCTCCAAACTGTTTTTTTAGTATTACAACCGATGGGTTAGGGTATGAGTTGGGCTTTCAGGTGTTCTTAACGGAACTATTTACCGGAACACGTTGGGGTTTTGGTACAAGATGAGGTGGGCATTCTCATGGTAATGCATCTGATCAAACAAGCTTGGATACCTATTCATCTGTATGCGATGACTGGGTTCAAATCCATAATAAATCAGTCGGCAGTGCAGTCACCAGGGGATACATGCAATTGGATCGGATATTTTACGCATTACTTGTCATTTAACGTCAAATGTGCAAGCATCTATCGGACAGACAGAAGCAGAATGTGTTAGAAATTCTGAATCAGCCAGGTGCAACTCAGAGCTCCGTAACCAAATCACTTGGAATCTCAAGAACAACTATCTACAATGTTATACCCCGTCTAACGACCATCGGAGAATCTTTGAACATAGAAGCATCTGAGAAAAAATGTCACCTGAAAACCAACGAAAAGTTCAAGACTATGAATAAGACAACCTTAGTTTGATTCACTGCTGAGGGAAAAGCACGATTAGTTCCCCATGGTCGAGAGCATCATTTGTAGGAAGGTAATCCAGCTGGCACGAAGAATGCATTAATGTGACTTCAAGGCTTTCAAAGCTTGGTTTCGCTCTTGGCCAATCCTATAAAGTAAGAGACAAGCAACCCATTTGCATTACTTAATAGTTTTGTGGGGAAAGTTTAGTTGTACCACTAGATGCAGTGGACGAGTTTCGAATGGGGTTAGCGCAGTTGATCCATAAATATGCCGACTGCAATATATTCAATTCAGATGGAACAGCTTTGTATTACAAGCAGATACCTGAAAAAAGACATTAAATCTCAAAGGAAAAACAGTTTCTGGATCCCAGAAATCCAAAGAGAGGGTCACGTTACTGCTTTGTGGGAGCATGACGGAAGAAAAATTATCACCGTTGATGATTGGAAAGTTTCAAACTGCACGATGCCTCCGAGGTATAGACAGAAAAGGTCTTCCATTCAGTTGTAGTTTTCCAGAGAACGCATGGATGACTTCAGCGTTATTTCACAGATGGCTGTCCGATGTCAAATGGTTTCTCAAAGGCGCGTCTGCCATAACCAAGCCACAATATTCTCCAATGTCAACTTCGCACGGCTGCCTTAGAACTGTTCTCCACTGTTACAACCAATGGATCAGAGCGTGATTTGGTCTTTCAAATGTTCGCTTCGGAAACATTCACTGAAATAATTTTTCTTTGATCAAAGATGAGCAGCTTATCATGAAAGCCGAGGTTGACATTCTCATGGGCATGCACCTGGTCCAGAAAGTTTGAGTGTTTGTGCACCCAAACGTACTGATCAACGCTTGCATGAAACGGGGGTTCAAATTCACATTGATTCAATCTGTGATGAAGTCACCAGAGGGTGAATGCGATCCGTTCGAGGACTTTATCCATTGCGTCTATTAATGAACGTCTTTTTGAAGAAGAAATCGCCTATTTGGAAGTTGATGATGAAGATTTGGGTTATTTGAAATTTTTGTATCAAGTCTCTTTTTTAGTCAGTGGATGAATTCGTTTCTAATCAAGCTAAGCGTTGCGAAGAGGAAGGTGAATATGAGGCAGTGAGTTCGCCGGAATTTATCTAAATCAGAAAGGCGCAGAAGTTATTGGGTCAATTCAAGCTGTTCGCCATGGCTAATGTTCTGAGCTCGGGTTGATTGTCTGAGTGTACAATGGATTTAAACAGTGCGTTTGTTGATTTCCAAAGCAGAAACTAACTGAGA